GGATCCCATGGAAAAAATCGTATTTACGGTATCTGTTGGAGTAGTTTTTTGGACCGTCGCCTCCTAGACTAATTTTCCTTTCTACGGGGAAGAGGACATGTTGGAGATGTTCTAAGTCAGTGATCTATGCTCTATAAATTGCATCTTGATGTTTTTCAAGAAAGACGCCCATCAAACTAGCCATTATACTGTAGCTATATTTCAAGTCAACCAAGTTAGTAGGTAATGAGGCTATCTATCAGCGTATCAGACAGGTATGTGGGATAGACGGGGTTGCAAACAGGAGTTTTGGACAGCGACGGAGTCCGGAAAGGTTTTTGATTAGGTTGTAGTGATAATTATTATTACTTCACATAAATTCGTCAACCATTGCTGGTTTGGTGTTCGGCAAGCTACAACATCATGGAGGCTGAACCAAAGTGCCACTTTTTTATGTTTAGTTGAAAACTGACAACACAATACATGATTGACCATGAATCCATGATCTAGCCCCCAAACCAGATCAAGCTCGCCAAATTGGAACCGAAAATTTGACGGTAAGAGGAACTCAGATCCAAGCTTTGTTTTAGCGTTATGGAATAAATCAAAAGGGGAGGCAAGTCATGTTCTTGAAGGTACTCATTTAGAAATTTCTTAATCATGTAACAAACAGTTCCTAATATGAATACTAGCTATGTTATTTGTATCCCTCTTCTAATGTGTATTTGTATCCCTCTTCTAATGTGTATCTTAACCTTTGAATCTATTTTAATTAGTAGCAGTTTTGCTAGAGAAACAGTATGAGGAAGGCATGCGGGAAAAAAGTTATTGATTAAATGATTAAATCACCACGTAATCTGTTATGTTTTTCTTCTCACTCTTGCTACTTTTTCTTTACATCCTTCATAGAACTAACCAGGTGCTCCATTTGATTTTGTGTACCGATTTGCTAAAACGCAGCTAGCCGAGTATTAGTTACTCCCCCATTTTTATTATAAAGTCACAAATTCAAATTACAGGTACCAAGGTAAAATTTAATACATGTTTTGCAACCCAATTTTTATTCCGTTTACTGGGATCATTAATACACCACATGCATGCAAGAAAAATGAGTGGAGGAAGTAACCGAGTGTCATTATGACTGCATGCATGCAAGTAAAAACAGGTTGCTAGTACGAGGAAACACCATTAATTTCTATCTCGATTATTGTTGATGGCCTTGTATAGATGC